AACAACCCATATATAGTGTCTGTCCATTTTAGAGTAGAGAATGTTTTGACAAACACTGAAAGTGTGGCCCTTTCAGTGTGTAGTGTTTTGGTATATACTACATTCTTTTCACGAAAAGCAAATGACAGGTGATAACCTAAAGGCTATGCAATACAGTACACATTGTGAATCTAGTCCTCAATGCTACCATAAGATGACGTGTCTACAAGAGAAGTAGACACTGTGCTTCTCCTTTGCCGCCCACTCCTACTCTGTAGGGTGCTTGTCAGTGACAGAGTCGTTTCGGTGGGAGATGTATTGTGTGTCTGAGCATCCGGCACTAGTGAAGTAAACTCTTCAGTGTCGTTGAACCTCCAGGAGATGCTATTGTCTATTGGGGCGTAGAGGGCACCGTAGCGGCACCTCTTGTGATTGACGATTCGTTTTCCAACCCACACTCCCATGTAGCACATGACGTAGACAAAGGGTATGAGCTCCAAGACATAGGCCGCGTACACAGCACTGTTTGAGACATGGAAGTCGGTCTCCACCGTGTCAAACACATACACATGTAGTCCAAATGCGATACCTAGCGCGCAAAAGAAGAAGGTGTCCATGAAGTTGTAGAGGTCTTTCTTGTAGGGTCGTAGTACAGCAGTCACCAAGGCAAACAGAATCATAAGTGACTGAAGGGTAATGTAGAGCTCTTTGTTGTTCCAGAATATATTGAAGGTTCCAAACACTAGGAGACGAAAGATAAAGTATAGGCCGGCAAAAAAACGTCGGTCTGGTCCATTATCCTTACCGTCCTTGTAGCAGCCTTGAAATGCATCCATAAAGATTCTAAGTCCATTCCTGTTCAACTTTAGCATGTGTAGGCATTTTTGGAAGAGGCGAAACTGGTAAAATAGGAGTAAAAGAGGGAAAAATAGGCCGAAAGTCAACAACAGCAAAATTCCAAGAATTAGGAATGGCATGTGTACGGGACTTGCATAGATGATGATGGGATCATAGTGTAAGACACTCCTCAGTACTTTTCCATTCATGTCATGCACAGTGTTATGGGTCGAAAGAAGAAGAGACACGCGGATAATCTTTACATACGAGAGAAGTATAAAAGCAGCGAAGGCATCAACGAGAGATGTACGGATGTCCCAAGTGCGTCGAAAGCGTGAGACAATGAACCCGACTGGATTCCACAACCTCACAAGACAACGGCAGTTACGGGCGTGCAACTCTATCAGGATGCAGCTTACAATGAGAAATAAGAGAGGGTAAAAAGCAGAGAGGTAGCGCAGGGCAAGAAGGTGCATCACTTTCAGATTTGACCCAAGGCACGTTGGCCTATCATTTGCAAACAGCTTATAGATACGGAAGAAGTCAAGGCTCCATATGTTTGAAGGAATCAGTAGAAAGTTGGTCATTGCATAAGCGTGCCCCACACCAGTCTTTTCCAGTGATGTCTTAGTGAAGATAACCTCTATTGTGACTGTGACGACTTGGCAGCAGAAGATGTAGCCGTTCACTGGTCCACTGGTCAAACTGAGGTGTAGCGCCACTACAGCTGCAAACAGCACAAAGACAGGGATGCTCTCCACCATTACATAGATGGACCAGTCCAATATGGACCCAGAGCACCTCTTGCAGTTGTATGAATCTGAGAACACATCGACCGAGTGGTTGCTGATGCAGTCACCACACAGCAAACTCTTTCGATTTATCAACCTGCAAAATTTTTCTATGTCATCATTATTTGGGAGATGGATGAAGATAGATGAGTGCAATACGTTTCCAGCAGTAAATATGCATCGACCATAGACAATTGTCTTGTTCTTGTCATCCAAATAACTTACACAGTAGGCAACTTGGATTGAAGCAGTTTTGTTTGGAAAGCAGTGGACTATTGCATGTAGGGCGTTGCTGCATTCACAGTCGGTCACTTGTGCATCGTATCGAAACCCAGGCGGACAAGCAATCATATGGATTGCCATAGCAGCGGTTACAGTGCGTTCTCCAACAGTTTTTATGTACCAGTTCTCGGTGCGAGGACCTTTCCCGAAAGCCACAACATGCTTGTGGTAATTTGGTGCGACGATTAGGAGGGAGTTGTTCTCTGCCGGAACCATGGTGAAGATGGTACGATCTGTTACGTCATTGTCCAACTCGTCGTGCACCGATAGGTTGAGAGATTTGTAAGGCACGGGAGCCCCAGAGACTATGCTTTTGAGTTCATAGTTCAGTTGCCGGAACTTCCATGGAGAGGTAGCAATGTCTCTTCGAGTACAGTTAGGCTCTATATGCCATGATTTCCATTTGCAGAATATATTTTTCCTATCATCTTCGTCTGTTGTGTTTGGATTGTGCCAGAGACATGGAATCACAGAGACAGTGAAGATGGCCCCCCCGTCCATGGCTTTATTGCCTTTGAAAATGAGCGAAGTGTTCCAATTGTCTGGGTTGCAGGAATTCTCAGGAACACAATCATCATCATTGTACTGAACAAAACATTCACGAATGTTTTGGACGTAGAGGTCTAAATTCTGGTTTGAATATATAGCACCTCCTGCAATTATCGCTCTGTTGTATAAAATTTTATTTCAGTGTTTCGGTAGATGTGAACAAAAGAGCCGAAAAGATTCAATCCTGCTCCTCGCTGTGCTACATTTCCGGTGAATGTGATGTTTGAATCTCTGTTTACAAATATGTCTGATTCCTCTGATGCAATAGCAGATCCATTGTTTTTGTAAAAAACTATCTTGCCATTAAGTTCAAGCTCTGTGTACTTTACGCAAACTGTTGATGAGCCCATTTGCATTATGTGAGTGAAAGGCTCATTCCGGGCAAAATGTGAGTCACGTATGACTACTCGAAGGCAGGTTTCATTGATCTGTTTATTCACAGGAGTCTGTGCACAGTAGAAATCTGTGGCTGATCCGATTTCAGCCTTGTTGCCTCGGAAAACCGAGTCACGAATGTCGACTTCAGTATCACTGGCTGAGCTTGTTAGAACCGAGATGCTTCCACCCAGATACGCCACGTTGTTGGCAAAGGTGCAGTTGTTGATGAAAAAGTGGTTGCTGTTTCGAGCTCTCTTCAAATACAGAAACATACCAGTACCTCGTGTCATTTCTTCCATTGCTGTTGTTTCGTTCACGTTTATGTTGTCTACAATACTGCAGTTGGTCAGAGAAAAAACCAGCCCAGCATCACCGTAAGACAGTTTTGAGTTTACGTATAGAGCAGAAATGTGGTCCAGAGACTTATGAACATGCAATCCACTGATAGTGGTGTTGCTAATGCTAACAGTACCGGACACATTGAGGAATGACAGACCTGATCCTTCGAAGTGTGCTAGTGTGATGTCTTGGTAGCCAAAAACATTCACAAACCTCAGCGTGCCTTTCGTGCTACAGTTTTTGAACGTAATGCTCTCAATCGTGACATTCATCTTCCCACTGAAGGTGACACTGACATTCCTTGTGCAGTCCACCACAGAGCCATTGCCTGACAAATACAGCCTCTCAACATTAGAGTTGTCGATTGTACTGTTTGCCTCTAGCTCGAAACTACATGATGAACAGAGGTCAATGGTCACTGATGCTCTCTGGTAGTGTTCCTGAACATATCCAATGGCACCAGCTAGTGAGTCACAGTACACTGTGGTACAGGAGGTATTATCACAGGGGCAGCTCTCAACTCTAACGTTCCAGCCTGCTGCATCACAGCTCCCCCTCCAGTCAGTGGTACAGCAGAAACCGAGTGGAACCATCTGGGAGGCTGCTACTATGACTAACAGAACCGTTCTTGGCAACATTGCTACAGTCTGCCTCTGCACTGGACTGCTAGTCTTGTTGTCCAGGGCCTGAGGAATTTTCATTACTAAGTTCCACTTTCAGTATAATTGTGCAACTGAGAACTGTTGTATAAACATTTTCCTGGTGTTACTGTTTGTGCAGAGAGCTTTTAGCTGGAAGCAGTAAGTGGCTACGCTGCTAAGAAGCTGTGCTGCTGTGCAAGGGAAAATACCTACCATGGATGCTCTAACAAATGTAACCACAGATCCCCATCTATTTCATTGGCCAAACATACAGAACGGGATAATATGAGACATTACATCTTGAAGCATACACATACAACATTACACTTTGAACGAGACTATACTTTGAACCATACTCTGTGACACAATGAAAAAAACATACACAAGAAAGCAATGGTGATGGTGCGAGTACACACACACATTATGAGATAATATGCAGATGAACACAAAGATGGGTGTGACTACAATACCAGCGACACACGACACAAATGCACTTCACACCAGATAGTCTTGAGATTGTGCTATAATGAAAGTGGATGGGAACACGACACAAGAAGCAGTCTGTTACTGTCTGATGTGCTCCAATTAGAGTTGTGTGATATACAGTATAATTATACTGCAGGGCTGGAGGAATGCTGCACAGGAGTGGCTACCAGTAGAAAGTATCAGAGAGGTATCTCTTCACTCCTCCAAACCATCCTCCGGCTCCCCCCACAGCCCCACTCCGCTCCACTGCCTGCATACACATCAACGATGACAGTATATAGCAGGCGTCAGGTAAACAGGTCACCAAGTCCCAGGTTTACACAACACGCAAAGTTTACATTATTCGCGTGTTTTCAGTTTCCTCATGCATAGCCCCATATGTTTGTTGGTTATGACATTCCCCAAGAAACAAACTGCTACAGCCTCTTCCTTTATAAAATGCTTATTTGCCATGTATATTATGTGTGCAGGACAGAGAGGCTGTTGGTATAACTCTTTTCCCGCGCGTAGTGCCAGGATACACAGACCAAGTACTCGAAATCTCGCCGCTCATGCACCCCAAGCGGTTACAAAGAAGTGTGCAGTGAGTATATATATTACACTACCTTATCATCAGTCTTGTCTGTCTCAGTGCCTTCTGGTAGATATTCTGGCATCTGTATGGAAAGGTTCATGTACATTATACAACCTCGATCAGACGTTCGAGCGACATACCTTCACAGGAGTGTTTTCTTTTCCACCTTTAGCCGGAGATCCAGGTCCAAAAGCCAACAGTTTCTAACAAAACCACACAAGATATTAAATTACTTTCCTTGCCTCCCTACACATACTACTGTACTCAGTTTGTGGAAACCGAAAATTCAATTAAAAGTCGGCACAAACACTTCCGTTTATATTAGTTAGACATTGAGCCTGTGAAATCCATAAGCCAGAGGTCCCTCACACTGTGGCGTTCCGAGCCTAGTGAGAACTCTACGTGAAGGGCTCGAGAAGTTCAAGTGTGATTACTTTCACCACACGAGTTGCCTAACTTCTAACTTGTTTAGTTCCAATTGATGCATACTAGTGTGCAAGTTACACAGGGACACTTAGTAAACTTGATGGGGGTTACTACAAGACTCAGTAGACACGCATTTCCATACGTGGGTGTGTGTTAACTCGGGATGTCAAAAACAGACCTCTTCTCCTCTCTCGCTCTTGACAACTTGCTGGGCTCCGAATGTACCAGATGACTCCACCGCCCGACATAGTACCTGCATAGTGTTACATGGGATACTCGGTAACCTCATGTACCACGGCGAACTGATGATAGTGCAGCATAGTCCACTGCTTTGCAAGATCGATAAACACATATTCGGTACAAGAGGCAATGACTAGAACGTACAATCATACATAGCTATAGAGCTATACATGACATGCTGTCTCTGCATTACAAGTGGACTTCATTCATGGTTCTGCTCCAATGGTGAAAACAGAATGAATGTAGTCGTACAGAAACTATGAATGGTGTCCTGGACAGACCTCAGGCTTGATGTCGCTCCTGACTCTGACCACACATCTGTGCCGCGGCATGTTGAAGGTGAAGCTGATGACACCTCTCACCGTCAACAGTCTCTCCTCTATCATCAGCCGAGACTCCTACGTACACACATACACACATCGGGAATAGATATGCACAATACAAATAATCAAGTTGAGGATAAACTGTTACATCTTCATATCTACACAGTGGGAAGTGAGTGGGAGAAAAAAACTAAGACTTCAACCATAGCATCACACAACTTTCAAACGACTTGCAGGATGCATTATGTATGTAATGCACAACCCTTAGCTCACTCACAGCATACGTCGCATATGGAAAATTTCTCGAAAGCCAAAATTGAAAATACACCCCTAAATAAGTGTCCTCACCTCATCATTGAGGCCCTCCACTTGGAGGATGATGGTCTTGGCCCGTCTGTTGGAGGAGCCGAGGAATGAGTTGGATCTGGAGGCTCCGTGCCGAGAGTGGGACGATGGTCTGCAACACACCAGACAAGAGTATCATGCACATTAGCTGACAGCCGAAGCTTACTACTCCATGTTGTACATTGTCATATCTCAACGTTCAAACCTCACAGGCCTTAGTTTCATTTCTACATGTACTGATGATCCATGTATGTGTATGTTTGGGTATAGAGTGTCGTGGGTTCCAATCCCACCTAAGGCAGCTCTTCTAAAAAAGAGTTGTTCTAGGTGTAGTTGATTTGTTTGTTGTGCCTTTGCCTTTCTACCTCGTAGTTTTCACATACATCTTTCTAAGCTTGCAAAGCATGCCTATGTATAGGTTAGATCACTGGAACGAGTCACTATTGCGTCATTCTCATCCCGACCCGCGAGGATTTTCAAACTGAGGAGAGACGAGTTCAGTGGTCTAACCTAGAACCGCAGCACAGAGAGCGCAGTTTCGCTTAGTCTTTTCGATAGTGTGCAAGACCCGTTACCCAGTTTGCTCTGCCTGCCAGAATATAGGCTCGTTGGCCCATTTTCTCATAGCTTCGAGACTGCCGCCGAGCAGGACGCGTTCATCGTACAAACATCGCAGCAACTGGACGGATATATCCTGCAAGCCCCGCCGAAGCAAGACACTGCCACTGGAGCGCTCAGCCCGCGTCGCTTGATCTGGACGCGATTTGTTGTTTGTCGCTAGTCAGACGTTGAAATCAGCTACATGGCTCTACCAGGAAACGCCTGACTAGTGACCAACAACAAATTGTCCAAGCGACGCGGGCTGAGCGCTGCGATGCTTTTATGATGAGCTCGGCGGCAGTCTCGAAGCTACTAGGAGCAAATGGGCCTTCCTTTATTATGGATTTGACCTTTGTGAAACCTCAGTGATCTAAATTCTTCACAGTGATCTAACTTGCAACTTAGAGACTTAGTACTTAGATACCTGGCAGACCCACTACTACGGGTTTTAGACACTTGATTACTGCATTCAACATCAAAGGGAATTATTCACGAGAGGTTCTATACATAACATAGCCTCAAAGATACACCACGGTTGACACTCTGACTCCCTCGTAGTGAAGCTGCTTTGTCACATAGACCAATACTAAGGCATCTAAAACAGCAATAGCCGAGAGAAGTTAAGAGGTATACCTTGCAGAGCCAGATGGATGGATGAGCAAGTCGTGTACTTTCTGTGCAGAGCTCTTCAGTTCATGAAGAGACTGTTGCCTGCAGTGGCGGAGAGGAGGAGGAAGCTCAAATTTCACAGATAATGATATACATTTGATGTGAACTGTATGACACGAGCATTTATTCACATCGGTGATTGCAGCCTCAACAAACACCCACAGACACATACGCAACGAATGTACCTTTATATGTACAGTACTACATGGACTAGACAATGTATAATTATATGTAGTTCGCGAGGTAGTAAACGCACCACATACGTATACAAAAGAATGTTAAATGGTGCCACTGCTTTGTTAGAGCTGCCACTAAAGCAGGAAGTGACATTTTCCATTTGCAGTAGGTCCTTGCAGCTCGTTTTCATAAAGGAATGTCTCAACATGCAAGTGGGAGTGACAGAGACGGAAACACTGCTCGTACAGTACCCTGATGAAGACAGGGGGCCCTAACAAAACCCACCTACTTTTGATAGAGTATAGGCTGTGTGTATATACCATACCTGTTGATGATTCTTCTGACACTGATGAGGAGCCCCATCTCGTTCTTCATGAGAGGGCGGTTGGATGGAACTTGGGCCAGATAGAACAGGGCCTGTAGAACACAAAACGATACGTGTTTGCTGAAGCATGTATACAAGCACTTATGAATGACACGGCATAAAGTGGCAGACACCCAAAGAACGTGAAGTATTACCTCCAATGCAGTGAGAACAACATCTGGATTGTCATTGTCCAGAAATATTACCAGACCAGGTAGACATCCTTGGTCCTACAGAACACACAAAATCGTCTCACAGTCAAGAACGGCACAGTTATAGATCATCCGATACTTCAATTGGTGCACACTACATGGTAATAAGGAACCTACCGCTGTTTACAGAGAATTACATAGGCACGTCCACTGAAATGTTGCACAGTGCCAAATGTGCTGTGTACATACATACATGCCTACGTGTTATTTCTACATGTCAAATCAATGAAGATGACATATATACACCTATTGCCACCTGTCCATTGCCTCCCACATACACCGATATGCATCGCAACATATCTACATCAATAACACTGTAATGCCTTGTACCACAGTTGCATACAATCTGTGTATATACATGTGAACGTGGCAATGCCCTGATACACACAGTCGCTATACGGGCATAATCTCATACACCAGAATCCTTCTAGAGATGGCCACAGACTCACTCTGACTATGGTGGCCCTGTTCTGAGGGTCGGCTGCCAGGTCTCGCAGCTGCTGCACCACCTTCAGCACATCCATTACCACCACACCTACAGACAGACAGGGGGGAGTGGACCCACACATGCATGATGTATACTGTTGACACAATCACACAGCTTTCCTAAGGGGTGAACCTGCCTAACAATCCTCTGCATGCATAGTTAGGGTCGAGTTCGAGTGTTTTATAAGGTAGAACTACGTTGCATACAATCGGTTCTTGGTCACTTTGTGTATTAAAGCAGGAGACATGGTGAAATATACCTCCAACAAACGAGCCGCCAGAAGTAGTACAGTCACGCCACTCGTCTACTCAGGGTGTCTCTCCGACAATTCTTCTAGACAGTAACACCGCCTTCAGTCCTCGAGACACGCCGCAACTCCCCAGACTCTCCCCAAACACCACTGCCTCGCGCGCTCTCTCTGCCTCGCGTGTGCATGCACACGGTCTTTGAATGTCACGTGACTATCCAGCCACATCTCATTGGTCAGTTCAAAAGTGCGGTGTTCATTTGTGAGCCAGTAGATCCAGGTGGCGGGTCCACCTCGCCAAGAGCCTTCTCAGCCAACAGTGAGGAACCAATGCTCTACTGAACAGGTATATTCGCGTATTCCACTTCATCTCCTTTTAAAACCGCTGATCCTCCCCTTTAGGTCTTTTATTCTATTTATCGCCCACTCACTCCACCAAAGCCGCTATGAGCGTCACCTGTACTTGCAAGGTACGGCCATTAGGCCTCTATGGCCTGGATGTAGAGGTCTGGTTTGAGTGGCGGGATACATAACATCTCTTTCTCTGTACAGTTTGGCCATGACTCATCTCGCAGTGTGGTGAGGCAGATTGGAGTCAGGATACCCCTCGACACAGGACGTAGAGTTCACATACAGGTATATACACTCATCTGTTCCTTCTACCAGTCATGAGGGTGTGCCCTATACCTTTCTATAACAGCCATGAAAGTATTATATTGATGTGTACTGGTTTTCTCTTGCACTCCCATTGGTACACGGCACACAAGGTTCCATGGTACTCTGATGTGTACTGGTTTTCTCTTGCACTCCCATTGGTACACGGCACACAAGGTTCCATGGTACTCTGATGTGTACTGGTTTTCTCTTGCACTCCCATTGGTACACGGCACACAAGGTTCCATGGTACTCTGATGTGTACTGGTTTTCTCTTGCACTCCCATTGGTACACGGCACACAAGGTTCCATGGTACTCTGATGTGTACTGGTTTTCTCTTGCACTCCCATTGGTACACGGCACACAAGGTTCCATGGTACTCTGATGTGTACTGGTTTTCTCTTGCACTCCCATTGGTACACGGCACACAAGGTTCCATGGTACTCTGATGTGTACTGGTTTTCTCTTGCACTCCCATTGGTTCACGGCACACAAGGTTCCATGGTACTCTGATGGCAATGCAGACACCCCCAGCCAACCAGATGCAGGACTGACTCTCACCAGCTACCTCAGTGTATGTCATCCACTTTGCCGGTAGAATCGCCTCTATTACTTCAGGATACACAACCTCATTCACAACCATGAAGCTTTTACTGTTGAAACGGCTTGTAATTTCTATGTACTACTGCCTGTTTGCCAACTGTGCAGTATGAGGGAGAAGAGGGGAGAGGGTGGAAGGACTGGGAGGCTGGTGATGTTGGGTCCGATGACTCTGGCATGGAGGCCACTCTCGATGGAGAGGAGGAGGACACCGGGACTGAGCAGAAACAAGGTTTGTTCATGTGGCCTGCAGGCTGTTCTGAGGACCTGTGGTACTTTTCCTATGCGTAATCCACTCTATGCACATATATAAGGCTATAACCTGCTCTTAACCTGCCCTGCTCTTTCTGCAGAAGCAATGGAGAAGATCTCAGCACTGGAGAGCGAGTTGGCACGTCTCAAGGCACAGATTGCAGTCTATGCTCTCTCTGAGGAATCCAACATTCCTCCAGGTGAGTACACATACATCAGTACTGGTAGAAGGATACTGTGCTTCAATTGTACTTGTCTTCAATTCTTGATTGTTCACTTCTACAGTTTCTTGCAATTTTCAACCACATACTTTTCTTGCAGCTCCACCAGCCCCTCCCCCTCCTCCCATTGCTCCTCCTCCTCCTCCGCCCTCATTCAGCACCCCTGCCCCACCGGTAGGAACTCTAATTAGAGCACATCACAATTGCGTCATCTCACAAGTGTGATGTTGAAAGACAGCAGGCATACGCCCGCAGACAGTATTACATTATACATACATTCCAAACCTTTTGCCAAAACCACAGGTTTCAGTTTATAAGTTTGCTTCAGTCCCAACAGTTACTGTTTACCCACTCCTCTCTCTCATCTCCTTCCCAATAATGTTCACACAAATCACTCTCGCTCCTTTCCTACTGTATGCAGTCACGAGTACCACTCTTGTCACGAGGTGTCAGGGGGAACCCTGCAGCCACCCCCACACACCCCAACTTTTCCCACGTCCTGCAGGATATCGGCAGTGTCAAACTGCGCTCAGTTCCCTCCATTGTCAGGTGTGTGTGTGTGTGTTCCACCAGACCTTTGCCTTGTTGTCTGGCATATTTCAATGGGATGACTGATGCACAAGCTATATACATAAGAGGAGCTTTGCTTGGTTCTTCTTGCAGGCATTTACATAGGCATAGCTTCAAAAGTATATACAAACAACATTATTATAATAGGACACAGTGCCTGTTAGTTCTCACTGTTTATCTGTCGTGGACCTCTACAGAATTCCTTCACTACTTTCGCTGCCCATTTTACACCTCCTGTCAGTTAGTAAAGGTGGCGACAATATAGGGCTCGCGTGGAGGAACTTTTCCACGAGCAAGCGATGTCACGTTCAGATAGTAGGCGTAGCACTCTTGCGGTGTGTTTGCTAAAGTGAGCGGTTGTTTTTCCCAATGCCCAGGTCTCCAGGAGGGACTCCGATGAGAAGAAAGGACCGGGAGAACTGTGAGCCGGCCAGCAACGACCCGGCCGCCGTCATAGCCCAGGCTCTCCGGAGGAAGTTTGCCAACAGAATGTTCCAAGACTCCCCAGGTATTTGTAGTGCAACCTCTGGATAGGGGACAACTAAATTGTCCTTTATTCAGTGTCCCCCATTCGAAGATAATAATTTAGTACACTTGTATTAGTATGGGGCAGAACCATAGTGTCCCTTATAGGGAGGTGTCCCTTATTTGGAGTCTCCTTTTTCTGAGGTTTACCTTGTCTAGTGATGTCATGGTGCTGTCATTGCTCTGCTCTGCTCAGATAAAGAGAACTTGGATAGATCTTCAGACTCATCCACTTCAGGCTTTGATAGCCCAGCAGGGAAACTAGTGAGTGTGAATGAACCATTATTAAGTGTATAAAATCTATGTTCATTCTCTTGCTATAGTTCAGCTAAGACCAGCAGTCACCTGAACAACTTTATACTGAATTATATTGTACACCTTCAGCAAGCTCCGCACTTTATCTAGAGCAACTTTTCATCATTATTTGCACTACTGCTTGGACATGTTTTTCAAGGTTTACAGGAGGCACAATCCATAAAGAATCCACATGAAGATTAAATGTCAACAGCAATTCATTGCCACTGTGACAGTCTGCAATTTGTTTCAGTAGGCTGTCTATATCAGCCAGATCATCAGGAGGCAGTTTTGAGTGCATCTACAAGTACATGTATGGAAAACGATAGGCCATGTGGTTGGTTTGGAGTCGTGCCCATGGTTAGTGAGGATTCTGGTAGATACTTGAGGCCGACTGTGTGTATTTATAGAGCAGCATCCCATGCACTCTAGCCTAGCCACGACGAGCCACATGCACGAGCAGGGTTCACTGTGATCGCACATGCGCATGCGTATACGATTACGCAGAGCTCGGCTAGCTATAGCTAGCGTCAAACTTCGGATGCCATGCATGCGCAGCGCACATACAGAGCAGTGGCTAAAGTCGTCTGATGATCATCTTTATTCCCACTGACAGCATCTTGCAGACGTGAGAGTGTACACTCTATTCCTCTGGTAAGAAAATCATAATGTGTAGATAACTGTTAGCTTCCGTACCGTCGTTAGCTACGAGTTAGTTACTTTCTTGACTACGTGTAGCTAGATAGCTAAGTAGCTAGCTATAGTCTAGCTTGACTGACAAGTATGATGCGGTAGCTACATGATAACAAAAGGTTGGCCTGCATTGCAGTGTGCATGACCTAAGCATTTCTGTCCATCACAGTGAAATAACGGTATTGCATATGTAGGTAGGTATATTATACAAGTACTTTTTGTCAATATCCAGCCGCCCTGTGTGGGAGTTATCCAAACAGAGGATTCTGAGAATGAAAGTTTTTCTTTTCGTCTTCCCAACTATGGCTCTGTACTGTTGTACAACAGGCAGTCAGCTCCACCATAATATTATACAAAAGAACATATCGGTCATCCCTGGGAAACTGGAAAATGTTTCCAACATTAGCTTCAACAATGACAACTTCTCTGTGTCATATGAGGGTTCCGGAACACTTGTTGGGGTGAGCAGATTCAAAGATGACAACGACATTTACGTGGGGATAACTGTCTACGGGACCGCTAACAACTCCAATGTTACTCAAGTTACCATTAATAATGGCACCTTGCTTTATGACATCCGCATCCACATATTGGACTGTCCACTCGGTTTGTATACTAATAGGAATGGGGTATGTGTCTGTCCACCGGCTGTCGCTGAGGAATTCAAAACCCTCCCTGGTATTAATTGTGATAACTCCACCTTCAAAGCAAGGGTGTTCTTTGGCTACTGTATTGACCAACATAAGTTACTGGTTGTCCGCTGTCCACTGGCTATACCTCATAGTTCTGATAGTAAAGCAAGTGTGTATACTCCTATCGATCGCTCAAGAGATTTTTGCCGCATTTTCAATCGAAATGGAAAATTTTGCAGTAGTTGTATTAACAATTACGGCATATCTGTTTATTCGGACACCTTTGAGTGCATCCAATGCAACAAACCAGATCATCACTGGAGAGCCATTGTGTCTTACCTTGCAATTGAAATCATTCCCTCCACCTTGTTTTTCTTGTTTATCCTCTACTTTCACATTGTGGTAACGTGTGGCCCTGCAAATGGGTACATCTTCTTTGCTCAGACAATGACCACCCCATTTGAAGTCATATTCCTGCAATACATCGTACAAATGTTCTTCAAGCCTCTTGGTGATCATTATCTTCCCCAAGGAATGGTTCAGTCTGTTATCATTCCATACAGCATGTGGAATCTAGATTTTCACAGGATTTTGGGTAAATCTGCAAAGTTCTGTTTGTCTGACAGCCTTCGGCCCATGGACATACTTGCTCTGCACTATGTCTCGGCACTTTACCCTTTCCTTTTGCTTGTTGTGTGTTACATCGTCATCGAGCTGCAGGCTATGAATTTTCGTCCTGTCATTTGGATGCTGAAGATCATCTGCTTCCCCTGCATGCGATGGCAGAGGGTCTGGAAGGCAAAGGTATCCATCCTGGACACCTTTGCCACCTACGTTCTTCTAACCTACTACAAGGTCATGTACGTGACCTTTCTTCTGTTGTCTACCACGAAAACTAATCATATTACGTTGGGTGGACATGCAAAACAGGATCGTGTTGTCTTTGTTGATCCATCCATTGACATATACTCAACTAAACACTTGCCGTTTCTCTTCTTGGCAGTCACAGTTCTCCTTACTTTTGGCCTCTTTCCCCCACTCCTGTTGATACTCTACCAGTTCAAGACATGCTACTCGTTTCTGGAGAGGGCGAGACTCAAACGTCCGGGGCTGGAGCAGTTTGTGCTGGCCTTCCAGGGCTGCTACAAAGACGGGACTAATGGAAGCCCCGACCGAAGGTTTTTCGCTGGTCTTTATTTTGTTTTTAGGCTGGTCATGGTGATGTTGATGACTATGCCAGACGATTCTCTTATAGTGTTTGGATTCAAGACCGTCGCCTGTATTACGTTTCTTTGTGCGTGTGCTGCTGCACAGCCGTATAAAAAGAAAAAATACACCGTCATTGATTGCACCTTCTTTTCGTTTCTGGCAATTATTTCGGCTTTCCAGTACTACATCTACGTCTTGCTTCAAGAAACGGAAAAGTTTTCACGTGATATTCTAGTAAACCAGCTACTAATGTACCTCCCCTTGATCTACATGATAATGTACGTTGCACGTCGGCTGTTTCTCTGCTTCAAGAACAGAGACTCAAATCCCTACCTCCTGCTGAATGACGGCGAGCTAAAAGACACGCTGTCCGACGATAGAGAAGGAAACAGACAACCTGTGAACATAGATATATCGCCGAGACAATCCATCACGAGAACAGAGGTGAGCATTGCCGAGCTATCACAGGAAAACGAGTCGGAAGGTGAGAGCGAGGAGGCCGAGTCGTCTCCTCTCATGGGAAAGAGAAGGGAAATGAAGATATTCTCACAGCACGCAGCCACCGAGTCGGCTGAGTACTGCCTCACAAGGAACACCTGAGGGCGGCATATGCAAGCACCTGGACGGCACATGTTCCCCACTCCATATTTTAGCACAATTCCACTTATGTTGCACTTCGAAAAGTGAAAGCACAACATACCCATACTGAAACATCAACATCGTATTGACATGTGTGTTATGCAACAACACTGTATACTGTAGTCACATACATTAGTTTTGCATATGTACCTTTCCTAAACTTAAGACTTTTCATAACACACGTGATGAGAGTTTAAAAGCATTACCACAATGATGATAGTACTCAGTTATTGAGATTGTGACTGGAGGTGAGCCACCGCATGCCCGTCAAATACTCTGAACGTTGAGCGATATTGCATGTTATTTTTATGCAGGGCTGAAGGATGAAACTTGCTTCAATGACCCTAGTGTTACTAGTCTTGCCGCAGTCACTCTGTGTTACGCTGTTCAATAATCTGGGGAGGCTTCACAAGGAATGCGAGGCTATGAATGTGTCAAAGTATGAGTACCTTTTTCCAGGTCAAATGACTCAACTACCCAACATAAAGCATTGTGCACCAACCGGAATAATAGAAGTACTCTTTATGGACAATACAACCAGCTTTGCAGTGAGACAGAACCCAGGTAACAATACTCCGAGCATAGCTGTCTATGAGAATGAAACCAGCAGTAGGCTCATGTGTGTGAAAAACAACGGCCGGATAACAAAGGTGAGTATAACTCTCAATTACTGCCGTCCTGGCTTCTTCTACACCCAACAAGGCACGTGTGACTGTCTGACTAGTCCCCATAATCCAAATATCGCCTGCAGTAAGGCAGAAGGTTTCTCTGCTGTGGTGGTGGGTCACTGTGTCAGCCGCAGCTCCGGGAAGGACCCATTGCTGGAGGCTCGGTGTGCCTTTGCCTCGCACGGCACCAAGCCAGTGCTAGCAATAGAACAGAACAACACAACCGGCGAGACCCTCTTCTGTGAGAAGTTCAACCGAAAGGGGACCCTGTGCAGCGAGTGTACACGTGGCAATGGGCTGTCGGTTTTTTCAGACACTTTCGATTGCATACCTTGTTCAAGATTCAGACTCAAGAACCTGGCCCTGTATCTAGTGATAGAGCTTGTACCGACAACAGTTTTCGTCTTGATAATCTTGTTTTTCCACATAGGGATAACAACAGGTCCCGTTAATGGGTATATATTCTTCGCTCAAATGGTCACAACACAACTAGAGGTTCTGTTTCTAAAATTTGGGTGGAAGATGTATGCACAAGGGAACAACTACCTTGCCACAATAATGCCGCAGTGGATAATCAACCCTTACTGCATATGGAACCTTACCTTCTACAGGATTTTCAATGAGAACATATGCATTTCCCCACACCTCAGAGAAGTTCATTTGCTGGCACTGAATCTAGTTATGGCGCACTATCCCCTTCTTCTCATGTTTATCACGTACGTCATTATCGAGTTGAAGGCTAGGAACATTCGCGTTGTGACCTGCCTATGGCGGCTGCTGTGTTTCAATTGTGTTCGCTGTCGGAGGGTATGGCAAGCCAAGACTTCAGTGATCGACGCCTTTGCATCGTGTCTCTTACTGTCCTACACAAAGTTTGTCCTCGTGTCGTTCCTCTATCTCTCCCCATCTGAGGTTCATGATGACAGGGGGAGGTTGGTTGGGAGAGTGCTTAGTCTTGACACTTCTCTGAAATTTCTTAGCCACGAGCACACGCCATATGTGGCAGTAGCTATAGTCATGCTTCTCACGTTTGGAGCTCTACCTCCACTCATACTGACTTTCTACCAGTTCAGACTCTTCCAAAGTTGCCTCGACCGGGTGCACCTGAGGGGAGTCGCCATGCAGCGTTTTGTTGAGGCTTTCCAAGGCTGCTACAGGGATGGTACGGATGGGAGGATTGACTGTCGCTTCTTTGCTGGGATTTACTTTCTATTTCGTTGCACCATCCTCATGATAACGGCTCTATTGCCTTCCTATCCTGCTGTCTTCACCGCCATCATAATTACTCTGTCTCTCTTTCTGCTGCTTTTTGCCATCTTTCGACCCTACAAAAAGCAGCGCTACAACATAATCGATTCTGCCATCATCTTCCTGTTCATTACAATCACAGCGCTTCAGCTGTACATGTACTACAAACTGCATCAGACTTTCACAGTTTCTCACGTTTTCACGTTCTATCACTTCCTTCTCTCCGTGCCACTAGTCTACATCACTGTATATGTGGTCAACTGGCTGTACCAACAGTGGAAGCAGAGGCACAATCGTCGCTCTAATACGCCGGCCGATCGACAGCCTGAATTTTACAGAGAGTCTGCACTTGAGGAGAGAGTACCACTGAGAGGTGAACCTAGCGGGTACTCAGCCAGAAACCCAGTCTCTCAGACTGAGGTGAGTATCGAGAACCTGTTGGAGGATGAACGAAACGAGGGGGAGATTGATGGGCAAGGACCTAGGGGAGGAGAGGGGACAGGGAGGGAGGTTAGGGAGGGCAGAGAGCAATTGTGGAGAAGTGCAGTTGGGGCATGGGGAGACTGGTACAGGTGGTGGCAGTCATACACAAGTGGCCAGAGAAAGGCCAAGCATTTTAGCACATCGTGAACTGCAGTCAGTAGCACACTATGGAAGCATACAGTGAGACAGATCCAGTTTGAAATACATCATTTGTGTGTGCATCTTTCATAACCCCATTTATTGAATGTGTTCTGTTATGTAATTGAGTCAAAGGATGTTTATAGCGAGATAGTGGCTGACTGAATTGTGTGATGTCATTGTGTAGGCTACTCTTCGCCAATAATAATAGCCTTTCCGTAGGGAGGATGTTTGTGTTTGGTAGTACCAAAAGTGAAACAATAACACATCCACACTAACACATCAACACTGTACTGCATGTGTGTCTAAAGCAACACTCTTTAATAACACTCCCACAGCTTGGTCAGCTAGTATGACTCATAATTATGACAATATTGTGTAAATGTTATGACATCACGTCCAGATGTTGTGGAACTCTTCTGCTCCAAAAAAATGATCACAGTTTCCCAGCTCAATCAGCAAGACAGGGCCAAATGATCAGGATGTATGAAGCCCAGCAGGCCTTCACAGAGCCACGAGTGTGTCCACTATAATATCTCTCACCAGCAACTTCCTCTTCCTTCTTCAAGACTATGACTTGGCTCAGAGAAAGACCGAGTTCGTTCAGGGGAGGTGGGAACAGCAAAGAATCGCAGATGTTGGTCGAAGGTTGGAATATTTAAGACTCTGTAGCTTTACGAGTTGGCTAGAGGACATAATTTCATTGTAAAAAGTCACAGCAGTAATAATAAATACTTCTTGTTTTTACCCACATTTTATGTTATGTTTTGTGAATGAACATGAACTGTTTGACTGTTACGAAGCCAATTGTTTTTCTAAACGTCTCTTCAGGTCAGCAAAGGAACTAGGTACAGAGTCCTCGTCCCCAGACGTAGAAGATGGGTCCTTTACATGTCGGGAACTGGCTGCGCTGTGGGGAGGAGGTCTGTGGCGTTGGCGGGGTAGGGAGCCCCTGGGTTTAACTGCAGGTGGAGGTGCTCCAGTTTGCTGGTGAGAAGAAGAGGCTCTGGCTGGAGGTGGCGGTGGCTGGAGTGGAGCCTTGCGCGGTCTCTCCTTTGTTGCCAGCTGCCACCTGGGCTCCTGCTTCTCCACGTGTTGCTGCCCCCGACTTGTAATTGGGTGCTGTTGGGAAGTGGCATCCACATAGTCTTCTTCGTCACCATCACTATCAGGAGATACTGGGAGGTGGTGGTGGTGTTGGGGCTTGAAATGTTGCCCTACACTATTTTCACTCTGCTTCTCAGGAATCAGATATGGTATTGGCTTTGACACCTACAAGACAGTACATGCAATAATGACACGGCAGAGATATGGTATGCACACACACAGCAATTTTACTGTGTAAGATTGTTATTTCGAGACAATGGCAGGTTTTGTATATTATAACCTCACATTTGTTGCGCTGGTGTGTTGGGCACCGTTGGTGACTTGCTGCTGTGTTTGTGTGACTGGGCGACTTTGAAAAGTGATGGCATCATCATACTCATCCTCATCTGATCCAGGTGGTTCAGGTGCCCTCTGTGCTGGGTCGGGCCGCATAGCCATTGCCTTTGATTTGGAGAGCCCCCTTTCTGGTGGCAGAGGTAGTCTTTTCTTCTGTTCGGGAGGTGTCTGAACCACAGGTAGTGCGAGAGCTACTTTTCTCTTATGAGGCAGTGTTGGTACATTTCTTTTTCGCTCTGGATGCACAGCCTGTTTTGTGTGATCATGCTCATCAGAAGGTCCTGTTGTCTGCTGCTGAATCGCAGGTGGTACCGGTAAAATCTTCCTATTCTGAGGTGGTGTTGGTGCCTTTGGTGGAGTTGGCTCACGTTCTCTCTGTCCAAGTGTAAATGGTTGACTTTCCTCGGGTGGTGTTGCTAACCGTGGTCTTTGATCAAGAGGCTGGTGGGTTACTGGCAGGCTCGGTATAATTTTCCTCTTCTGTGGTGATGTTGGTGCCTTTTGCTTTGGCTCTGGAAATTTTGGTAGTGGAAATGGTTCTCTGTGTTCATAGGACGGTCTCTTTCTCTGTGGTGGTGTTAGAACCTTTTTTATCCGTGGTGAATTTGGTTCCACATCCTCTACCTGCTCGGGTATTGGTATCGCGGCCCTTTGCTTCGTTGGTAGGACTGGTAGCGGTTTGGCTTTGGCTAGCTTAGAGATAGCATGAGGAGGATTACTGGAGGGACCTGTGTGGGCTGGACCATGTTCCTGGTGAGCGGGTGAGGGTAGCCTGGGGAATCCAGCATGTTCAAGACCAGAGTCATGGCTACTGGGTAGGGAATGCTCTGATGGAAGCGGGAGTCGACTAGCGGGCGAGTGTCGAGCTCCGTGATCCCTGATGGCATCTCTCATCGGTGGCAGTTTGAACGGCATCTCAACTACTTGGCCCTACATCAATATTGGAACAAGTGGGCAGTGCTAAATTAGGGTGTCTGGAGGTAAGTTAGACAAGTGGAAAATCATTTCTGTGAAATGAAAGGGAATGTAGGGATGTCGAAAGGAACAAGAAGATACACCGAGACAGGAAGTCATTCATGACTCCATCCCTACATCTTTGTGTTGCAATCTTTTGCTGGTCATGAATGCTCATGCCATCCCTACACAGAATGTATACCGACGCTCTGATACTGGCATCAGCATTGCTGGCTCTGTCCCTGCTTTGAATGCATGGTCTATGGTCTTAGTGCTGTGGGAATGTCTCGTGGGTATTGTTACTAACTATTGTGACAAGCAATGAGTCGACTCACAGGAGGTGTGTTCGCTGGAGAATGAATACCAGGTATGATGGGGAGATGTACCGGGTCCAACTGTGTAAATATGAGACAGACATTTCGTACTCGTGCTGGATTGAAAAAAACCTCACTTACCACTTCTTCATATCCGTCTGAACTCTCAGAATCTGTTACTTCCGTTTGTTCATAGTGGTCTACATAGTGATCATCATCTCCCAAATCACTGGTTGCCTTTACACAACAAACACACACACTCACAATCACACATCTCCTTCCTACGACATGCTAACTAACCAAGCTACTCTTTGGTAGTGTCCAATAGAAGCCTTTGCAGACACCATGACACATGTCCCTTCCCCAGCTCCTTCATTACGTAGAATATATCCCCTCTCTATAGAAATTACAAAGTGACACTCTGTTTTAATGCCGTTCCGTAAGATGGTGCTACATGTTCATATTATGATGTGTAAACTGAAGGCTTTCATCTACGTACTACAAAACTTCTACGGTTAACAGACTCTTGAAAAATTATTATACTTTCTGCTAATTGTGGTTGATAGATATTGTGTCTGCAACCTGTTTGGCGTGCATTTGGTGACGGTGCTACCATACCTTCAGCGAGGCTTTATCCCCAAAAGGTGGTTCTTCCCAGGGGTAGTCGCTGAGGACGGAAGAGCTGTAGAGACACATGCTCACCAGCTCCCTCAGGGACTCACTGCTAGCACACAGTGGGCCCGCATTCTCTGCCAGTATCGGAATGGCTCTGGAGTACTTCATTGATGTTGGAGAGCACGGTAAGGAGAGGGCAACCTTTGGACAGATAGCTATCGGTTCTGAACATACTCAGCGCTGCCTCCAACTACACCCGTATTTGTCTGCAATTTTTTGTCCATATGCACAGTTACCCGCCGCCTGTGTTAAATACTTGCCGTGCCTTCTTGTAACGTTACTCTTCTTAGATTGTCACGTAAAGTGTGTCTAAATTTCGGTAAAATTACAGACAGATCTGTATGGTTGGAGGCTATAGCTTAGTACAACATGTGATACTATATATTATTATGACAAAGGGAAAATGGTTTAGTGTTCCATAACTTCAAAGGAAATGCCATTTGTGTGTACTACGCATGAGGAAAGTGCCCACACCCACCAGTCTAAGTGTTCTTTCCATTAGTCTGTTGAGAATAAGGATTTGCCAGTTTCAAGTTCAACACAACCAAGACCTTTGTCTCCTTACCTCAAAGGACAGCTCATTCAAGTAATTTAAGAGTACTGTATGGGATAGGTGCAGTAAACATCAAATGAACATAGATCTAACATAGATCCTGTTTAGGAAAAGTGTTGTCTTATGTGTAGTTGATATAATATATGCACGTGCCATGTGTGACACACGCAGTCTAAGTGGATGCCGTACATACCTCTTCAGAAAATTGCCAATCATCTGAGGTTGGAGGAGGAGATTGTGGCTTTGTTATCGTCACTCCCTAGGGAGAGATGAATAAACTTGAGTTCTCAGACTCGAGCCAGATTATACTCAAACTTGTGAAATGATCAGACCTTTTTGTCACTGTGTAGTCTGAAACGCCTCTTGTTGCAGTGTTTTTCGCCGTTCACCTGCACAACAAATCGTCTGATAATGTCAAACACACGCGTCGTCGTCTTGTTACCTTTACAGAAGACAGCAGTTCATTGTCTGCAATACAAAGAATGCAAATTACATCACACAACATCCTTTATCGTTAATACCTTGCTCTGTGGTGCCTATCAAGTTCAGTTTATGGTCAAGAGATTTGCATTTCATCAACTTGGTTATCTTAACTGCACAAAAGACTTGAAAATAACAGTGACACACGAGTGGCTACACGAAAACATACCCGTGCGTTCATTTCCCTCAGTCGAGTTTACCTGCACAAGAAAATATTATCACCTATATACTACAGAGTTTAGTCATGGTGTGGTAGAGTACGAATGAATCAGTGTCAACACATACACTGACCAACACTTTGAAAAAAGCTGCCCCACAATACACGTATATTATAGCAACATCGTAGTACTCAATAGGGAAATGGCCAAGCGTTTTCTTAACGATGTGTTTAATGCAGCACGACATGGTGTTATATTGAAAGAATGCTCTGTGGTGGATTAAGAAGGTGTGTGGGTGGCCTTCGTCAATATTAGGTGTCAATTTCATACTGGAAGCTGGAACTTGAATGACTATCCATACTCCCAAAAGGAAACTCACACTTGCCATTGCCAGCATTTCTGCCGTTCTTTTGCTGCCCTTTTTACGAGCAATCTCAGAAGGGGTCCTCCCCTTATAGTCCCTCTGTTGCAGAATTGCCTCTTTGCTGCCCCTGTTCCTGTGTTGTAACAACACACCGACCGCCCCCTCCAGCTTACAGCGAACCAACAGGTGTAGCAGACTCTCGCTGGCCCCATACTTCCCTGTGCCAGTTGACAAACACACAACCACTGAAACAACCTTTCAGTGTTATTCTAGTGGGCGAGATAACAATACTTGTTTTTAACAAGAGGTCTTTTTGGTCCTTTTAAATGCCTTCCAAATTCGCTTAGCTCGGTACATATTTTATGTCAGCTTGATGTATGTACATATGGAGCAATTAACCCTGCCCTAAAATTGACATTGTGCAAGTGTCTTGTGTGCATGTGTGCTAAGTGCATGAAACGGAGAAAAACAGGGTGGAAGAAACTAGTTGAGCTGGATTCGAACCAGCGACCTATGGATCCACTACAGTTCACTGCTCTACCAACCGAGTTATATACCGAAGAGTCCTAACAAAACCCACCAAACAGGCAAAAGTGGATGAGAATAATGATAGGATCGCAAAAACAGTCCCTTGCTTTTTTTGGATTGGATTTTGAATACTAGGGATGGGCATAGGATTTGTAAAAGAGGCATCAACTCACGTGTTGACCACTGCCCCATAGTTGGTCAGAGTAACAGGTGCTCTAATTTGTGTAAAAGAGGCATCAGTCACGTGACACTGCCCTAGTGGTCAGAGTAAAGGTGCTCTATCCTTATTCCTAGCCTGATTTACAATTGGGATTGCAAAAGGGAGGGGGTGCCTGCATGGTAGCTGATGCAGCAAGGAGTCTATCTGTACATGACATGCTGTTAGCTGATGGTAAATAATACCTCACAGCTTCATGAGGTAGCTAAATGTGGTGTTGTCTCTCACCAAAGATGACAGAGGAGAGGTTCCAGTCTGAACAGAGGGAGGACTGTGACTGGAGGAGGTCAGTCACAACCCTGTCCATGTGGGCGAGCTTACTCTGGTCCTTCTCATGAGTGTGCAGGAGGTAGGCCCGCCAGGCAGGGCAGGGAAGCACTGCCGTTACAACTGCTGCTCTTCTGAGGGGCAAATGAGGCCTGGAGTATTGTCTCCAGTGGACTAATGACCCTGAGTTTGAAGCTGGGGCAGGGATCAAATGTCTCTCTCGATACCTTGATGGTCACTTCAAGATCTCCAGCGTAAGGAATCTCTGTTTGTTTTTGGAATATATAGTATAAGATGCAGACTGAGAACTGATGCGTTGTGGAATATGACCAAGGTGGCCTCGTTATTACTGGATGCCATGGTGAAAGAGAGAGAGAGAG